CTCTTCCTGCGTAGCCTTGTCAGGGACAGGTGCAGTTGTGAGGCTGTGTGTGTGTGTGTGTGTGTGTGTGTGTTGCTGTGCATCCACCAGCACTAATCACAAAAGAAGGGCAGTGTTTCTGCTGCTGCTCTGTGTGTTCATAAAACAGGGGAGTGAGGGGGGAGACGGGGGAGACGGGGGAGACGGGGTCCACGTCTGCTGTGCCACAGATCTTTTTCTTCCCATGATCTAATCTCAAAGCTGTCCAAATATCTGACTCCCAACTCACAGACACTCCCCCACCTTTCAAGCTTCTTTCTCCGCCTTTTTATTTCACTCCTGCCACCTGCTCTTTCTGACCATCCACTGATCACTAACACTTTCATCTGTGTGGATGTTGTCTTGCTGCCTCAGAGGTTATATCTCCGTGTACCCTTCTGGGGACCCAGCCCCTATTTTGAGAACCACAAGAGGAATGTGAAGATTTTTTTTTTGCTCAAATGAACATAATGAAAACATATCAAGAATCCTACCAAACATGAGATGAAAACTACAGCAGTTTTTTTTTCAAGCTCTAACTTTGTTAGAAAGAAGGACCACTAACCCTCCTCCTCCTCCTCCTCCTCCTCGGCCCCCCCTACAGGATCACACCATCCCTGTTTGTTTGCAGCACTTTCCCTCATCGTCATACTCATCTCCAGTTACCTCCAACTCCTTCACTGCCCCTTTATTTATGCCCCTCCCTCTTTCCTCCCCCCTCCATGGCATCCATCAGGTCCATTCTTCTTCTTTGTTTCTTCCCTCCTCCTCCTCCTCCTCCTCCTCACACACATCTCTCTGTTTATTCCCCCATTAAACTCTATTGTAATTAACAACCCAGTAACGACAGCCAAGACACACACACACAACATATGAGATCGGAATGAAAACAGGAAGTGACGTGGTCTACACATCCACAGCGCTCATGTCTGGGCCCAGTTTGGGAAGTGGTTCCCGTTAGGACTCTTTCTGGGCCGTAGAAAAAACCCCGACACGTCTGACAACAACAGCAACAAGGCCAGAAATGGTCCTAAATAGGTCTGAAAAATGAGAATACACACACACACACACACTCGCTCACTCAGAGGCCAACACACACGCAGTTGTACTGCACCTCCTACACCTCGCCAGGACCTGTCAACGTCAGCCTGGGGTGAATTTATAAGTCAGGATGGATTGGGGCTGCACTGCGGCCCAGACTGCAGGGGGAGTCGGAGGCTTTAATCTCTCTCAGCAGAGCGCTCGTTCAACACCAGCTGTTTCTCCCTGCTCCAGCCTCAGACAGTGAGGAAAGAAAGAAAGGAAAGTCAGACAATCCAAAAATATCACAGGAAGTCTTTTGAAGGTCTCCCAGAGTGACTCTCCGGAGCTGCAACATCTCACCACTTTTCCATGACTTTCCTCCAACAGTCCCGGTCCTTCTCCATGGACCAGATGACTCTTTGGTCTCCCTGCTTTAGTCGTGTTTTTCTCAGCAGTAAGACACGACTGCAGCTAAATATATTCTGTTATAGCCTGCAGCGAAGCTGAGGAGCTGAAAAGGTCTCCTCTGACTCACCAGGTTTCACCTCCGACTGTTGGACTGTCGTGGTCTTTGTCACCGTCGGCGTCTGTCTGAGTGTCAGTGAAACTTAAAAACCACCGTCCGCCGTAACAGGAGACACGAAAACTCCAACCAGGTCACCACCTGAACCTGCACCTCCTCCCAGTTCCACTGATGGATCTACTGTAACATCAGTGACTCTGTATCGATCGTTAGACTCGAGTCTCTGCTCACAGTACAAGGTTGTACTTTGTACTTCTCGGGAACTTGTACAACACTCAGCAAATATTCAGCTACAATTGTCCCGCTTTAAATACTTTGATCTGCACTTGTACTAACAAAAGTGGGAAGAGAAGGTACTGGTGTTTGGGATTACTTCAACAAAGAATAGAGCTGTGTATTGGCAAGAATCTGGCGATACGATACCTACCTCGATACAGAGGTAACGACACGATACACTGCGATACTATTGGTACGGCGGTATATTGTCATAGTTTTTTTTCCCACACGATACACTGCGATACTATTGGTACGACGATATACAGATATGTAACTGTAGTAAAACTGTCGTCATAGGAAAGACACATAAAAAACATATGACACAATAGTCCCAGAGCCAGAGAGATGGATGAAGAAGAGAGGAGGAGGAGGAGGAGGAGGGGAGGAAACCCAACAACGAACGCTCACACCATGTAAGGCTTCACGCAGCGACAACGATCAACATCTCTGACTCGCTCATTCTCTTTGACTCCACACTTTTAGTATTTCCTGCCTGGCGTTCACTCTGTGCTGCTCAGATGAAGGCAGATGTTTGTTTGGCCTGAGCAGAACTTGAAGAATAAGAAAGGATGTAGAAGGAGAAGGTGTAGAGGCCAGACGACCAATAAGAACGCTGTTCTGACTCTGCCAATTATAGTCCGTACGGAGCAGTGGGTCAGGAATCATGAGGAACTTTAAAATATTTTACAGCAGACGTGACGTTTCCCAAACATCTGTTCTCTCTTCACACTTCCTGCAGCTGAAACTGATCAAAGTCTGACCTGGAAGAACGAGAGGAAAGAAAACGAACAGTGACTGACGATGACGTGGATCTGATCTGATCCATGTTGTCACTGTTTGCTTTTTGTGCTTTCTGTACTAGGAGGAGGACCATACTTAAAGAAAAACGAGAGAGAGAGAGAGAGAGAGAGTTTGTGAAGAAGTTGCCGAGAGTCTGTGATGAACTGACGACCGTGTCATCAGAGACGCGGAGGCGGACGTTTGACTCAGACAGAGACGTGCGTGGACGTGGCGATGTACGGGGCAGACCCACAGAAGGAGGACATCTGGGGAGGGAGGCTAATGTGATCGGAGACAGTCCAGGTGGACACACAGTCTCCTAAGTCTCAGATCCCCGTCTCTGTGTGAAAACTGATAGGACACAGCCATTTGAAATGGAAAAAAAGAAGAGAAAATCAATGCGTCACGGCCCGTCACAAATAAATCAATAAGAACAGAAGCAGTGGAATATGGGTCGAATCTTTGGTCCAACTCAGACTGAGGGCCTGAAGCAGATGGACCGCTGACCATGTGACCCGGACAGTCGATCCTGTTGTTGTTGCTCTTTGTTCTCTGTGATGACCAGACACGAACAGTCTTCGCTCCACATCACACGAGCGGTGTCCCTGCGGTGGCGCTGTAGCAACAACGCCACACTCACACCTTGACTGCCTCAGGTGGTTCATACAAACCCTGTTCACACCCCGGCTCAGGTGGGACCTACATCCTGTAAATGGGTCAGGGTTTTTTTTTATCCGAGGGTCCAGAGTCGAGTCAAGTCCATTTTATTCAGCTAATTACCAGGTGTTTCCCATCAGCCACTGGGAGCTGAAAAAGGTTCTCTCGGATGAGAGGTGACGAGATGAGAAACGTCTTTAAGGATCTGAGCCAGTCCACTTGTCTACTCTACCTCTAAACTTCAAAGGCTTTGACACAACTGTCAGTCAATATGTTGTAAAAGTTCAATCTTGAAAATCCCAGAACGGACGTTAGTTTCACGTTAGAAAGAAAACGCTTTTTAAAAACGCTTCAAAGACTGAGAGCTGGTGAAGAAGGGTTTTCTTTGTGTTTTCTTCAATTCCTGTGACCATGTCAGCTTTGTTTTCAACTAAACAGGCCAAGGATAAAAACCTTTTTTGAACACTCAGCTGTGGCTGAACAAGATTGTTCCGTTTTCACCGAGCCCTGAGAGCGATCAGCTGACTCCACAGCTCAGGAGCACTCTGGCAGCAGATAGTTTGGTTTATGTGTCGTCGTCCTGGTGCCATCTTCCTGCTGCATTATTTAATTAGGAGGACAGGAATTTGTGGCGGCCTGTTACACAATAACGCTGAGCTAACGCAGTGAAAGTGAGTCTGCTTCTCCCCTGACCTACTGCTCCTGATAACGGTTGAGTGGATAATTAATCTCACCACCTGCTCTGATTTATCTGCTGAAACCAATGAGCCAACACGTGATGAAATAAAGATGAGAATATTCCCCTGCACTGTTTTATTGATGGACCATATGGGACGTATTTGGAGCCCTGATCGTGATCAATATTTCAGGACATTAATGTTAGTCTCTCACCTCCGTTCCAGGAGCCATTTTGGGGGAGTTCTGTCTTGGCAGATTCGTGGCTGTCCTGTGCCTTGGCGCCATCACCGGTGGCGACCTCCGTCTCCTGCAGGCTGTCCTCCTCCACTATGTGTAGCTTGTCCTCATCGTCGGAGTCTGAACTGGCCTCCAAGCCATTGTTGAAGTCTGTCACTGCACAGAAGGAAGACAAACGGGTCAGGAATGAACCAACCAGTGACAGGACGTGTGGCTCGAAGATTTGAATAAATCTTCAAAAGTTCTCATTTGCCGAGAGAAACACCAGAGATGATCTTCACCACATCTCATCAAGCCACCTGAAATTCCACCTTCTCTCCACGTTCTTACAGAACATATATTCTGATCTACCCCACACCACTGATCTGCTCCACGCCGTGGGAACGTGAGCTTCTGCTTCTGCTTCTCCGTGGAGATTCAGGGTGAAGGACAGGTTTAAATGAACATGGACGCTGAGGTGTGTGTGTAGCAGAAAAGCTGTGAATGTTAGAGGGGGGGGGGGGGGACAAGTGTAAGGGGGGGGGTATAATTGTCTTTTCACTGTCAGCACGTGTGTGTGTGTGTGTGTGTTGTTCTCCACGGGGAGGCTGTTCATCTTGGTGGAGGTGTTGGTGATGCCTAATGAGCAGGATGGCCCAGGCTGGGGTTTTTACAGGTGACAGGTGCACACACACAATCACACACACACGGAGGTCCCAAACCACAAACAAACTGTGATGTGTGTGTGTGTGTGTGTGTGTCGTCTGCAGCCTGTCATGAAATAGGAAACTGAACATGGTGGAGCTGTTAACCACTTAGCTGCAGACGCTGCAGACGGTGGTGCTGCTGCAGCAACTACAACAACCACCACAACTACAACAACAACAACAACTATAACAACATCTACAACTACTGCAACAACTACTGCAACAACTGCAACAACAACTACAACTACAACAACTACACCAACAACTACAACAACTACTGCAACAACTACTGCAACAACAACCACAACAACTACAACAACTACACCAACAACTACAACAACTACACCAACAACTACAACAACTACACCAACAACTACAACAACTATCACAACAACATCTACAACTACTGCAACACCCACAACAACTACAACAACTACAACCACAACTACAACTACTGCAACAACTACAACTACAACAACAACATCTACAACTACTGCAACAACAACTGCTACAGCAACTACAACAACAACAACAACTATAACAACCACTACAACAACAACTGCAACAACTACAACTACAACAACTATAACAACAACAACTACAACAGCAACTACTGCTACAACAACAACTACAACAACTACAACAACTATAACAACAACTACAACAACAACTACAACAACAACTACAACAACCACAACAACTACAACACACACTGTAACGTCCACCACATGAAGAACATAACAATCATATTTAACGTTTCTGTTGTCGTTCTGATGCGTCAATCTTGTGTGTTAGCAAGAATCTGTCGATACGTATCGCAATACAGGGGCAACGATACGATATATTGCGATACTATAGTCACGTTGTAGTGTAGCTGTAGTCCCAGTGTAGCTGTAGTCCCAGTGTGATCCTAGTCTCAGACTCAGGTTACTAACACTGGACTGGAGAGGGAGGACGATGCAGGTTACTGTGTGAACAGATCGGTACCATGTGACTCAGCGCTAAGTACCAGGTTAAAGAGCTTCTCCAACAGTCATTTAAACAGAACCTCAGACCCTGTGATTTCCACTGAGCGGCCTGTGAATACTGCTGACTGGAGGAAACACCAATCAGCCAAGTACAACACAGCTCTACTACATATTACCTTACATTTCCACATCCTAATGAAGGCCAACAGTCTGCAATCAGACCCACTGTTGTTTGGTGGACTGGGAATGTTCTGAGTCATGGACCGGACCAGCAGCACCGACAGACGCTGGGTCCTAAAACCAGACCATTCTGACATGTCAGTCGTTTTCTGCTTTCTCACAGCGTAGTTACCGCAACTGTCAACAGGGGTCAGCAGTGAGTACGGCAGAGGAGGACCATGTAAACATACGAAAAACACACCACAGAGATGGAACACAGTCTGATACAGAAGTTTTATGTCAGAATAAAAAAGGAGCGGAAGAAGGAAGTCTGGACGACGGCGTTCCTTCCTTCCTGCCAACCGCTCTCACTGACTAACACCTTCAGTTAACCGTTTATTGTTGCTGCAAATATGTAGGTTCAATATGATGTTCGAATAAACGGGTTGATGAAAAAACACCCAGTCAGGTTGACAGACTTTGATTAACTTTACTCTGAAAAAGTTAAACTTTTCAACTCGATTATTTTGTTCACTTTAAACTGTTGAACATTTTAGGACTTATTTTATTTAATCTATTAACTGGACCAAACTGGGCCGCGAGCCTTAGAGTGATTACACTAAAGAGTTAAAAAAAACAAACCTCAAAAATATTATAAATATAATTAAGAATTGCACATGAAAACATCCGACTCCACGTCTTTCTTCTTTCTTTCCGACGTTGAGCAACTGAGAACATAAATCACTTCCACCACACGGAGCAGCAGTGGATCAGTCTGTGGCATCAGGACACGTGACGCTGCAGGGTTAGTCATGTGTCCTACACACACACACACATAAAACACAGCCGTGACTGGACCACATGGCCTTGAATCTGGGTCAAAGGTCATCTGTCATGTAGCAGGATGACGGGGGAGGGGGCGGTAAAATCACCGTCCGGTCATGTGTCCTCAACAGATCCGTCGGCAACAGATCCGTCTGTGTGACATCACTCTGTTATAACATCAGAGGTTTGGTGTTTGTTGAAGATGTTTTTAAATCCTGTCCCAGGTTCAGACAAATATCTGGACACCTCTGTGGCCCACTCTGTGTGGCCCACTCTGTGTGGCCCACTCTGTGTGGCCCACTCTCCGTGTCAGTCGCCACTGAGGCTGAGTCACGTCGTACGACGAACGCCGTGATAATGAAGTGGAGCCGATCACAACTGAAGCCAGTGATTGATTAATCGCCTGACTACCGCCCCCTACAGGTGAACAAACACCGGACGCACGTTCACTCCTTTGTCTTCTTTGACATGAATAAAAAAAAACTCCAAGAGAAAAACCAGTCAAACATTAGAGTGTATGACACGACCACAGAGTGTGTGTGAGAGTGTGTGTGTGTGTGTGTGAGAGTGTGTGTGTGTGTGTATTGACCCAGTGCAGCTGTGCAGGATAGGACCTCCGCCAAGCCTCTAACAGACAATTACCCCACTGTGTGTGTGTCTGTAGATGTGAGCAGACTGTAACATGCTGAGCAGATGCACAGTCGTCCCAGTTAAAGGGCCAGTTACTTTAATTTACCATCACTGTCAGAAACAGTCATGTGACACATTTGTCATTATGTTTAACGTTGGTGGCGATAGGTCCCCCCCCCACCCCCCACCCACCGACGTGAAAACAGTCGTCAACCCTCATCAATCTGCTCTGGAAAATCAGAAGGTGTTTTTTTTTTTAATCTGCTGGTTTCGAACGCCGAGACTAGAGATTATTAACTGGTAATAATCTGATGACCCGGTTAACGCATTGACACGCGGTGAAACTCAAGTGTCCCGGGTCGGACGTGAGACACACATCTGCAGGTCTGGAAGATGTTGACTGTTCAGCTCTGAGTCACAGTCCTGACCTGCTTGTTAACAGTCGACATCACGAGCTTAGACGGAGGCTGC